TCCTTTTGATTTTATTCAGATACGGTGAAATCATTTTGTGTGCTATTATATTTGCTTACTAAATTAAAACAACAAAATATTGATAAAGCGATATTTATTTCTATTTAATTAGATGGTAAACACATGCACACACACATGCAGGATCACTGTTTTAGCAATTTAATATCTGAATGCAATCACTGAATCAACAGTTTTGTGGTAACATTCATTTTATATTTATTCTATTTATTTTCTAAAGTTTAAATGTAGTACTTCAAGTAATTGTCTATTTAGGTGGCCTCAAACATATGTTTTCAAGTTCTTAAAAGTGTTTAACATTCTTATCAATTTGAAATAATTTCTACTTAAACCTTCCAAAATTTCTAGTATTTTTACATACTAATTCTCTCCAAATTAGTTACTTGCCATGGATAGGTAAGTTTTATGTGCAGCTGAACATTGACCTCATACATTATTTTTGAGTAACTTTAAATTAGTTATTATTATCAGCATAAAATGTATGTCAAAAGAGAATTGGTAATGGATCATTCCATCTTCCTTTTATGCTATTCTTATGGCTGAATGTTGTTACAGTATTGTATAAATCATTCATTCACTTAATATATTTATTCAGGCCATAATAAATAATTATTCAAAATAATTATTATTTCTAAGCAAATTGTAACATATTCATTTATATTTTGTTGAGTAAATATATCTCTTCTGGTGTTTTCATCTATACTTGGAAATTTCCTCAAAGAAAAAAGGAAGGAAAATATATTGTATATTCTTTATCCTTAGTTATCAATGAATGCCCCCTGACAAATACACACACCCAGTGTGAGCCCAGATAATCAAAGTATAATTTTTTAAACAGCATAGTCACTGAGAAGATGCTCACTTAGATTATAACTGAGCAACAGATGTTTTTACCTTTGGAATTAACAGGGAACATTATCTGCAAGAAGTTGTAGAATTTGATCACTATGATTCCACTTTAGTTCACTGCATGCAATTTTCTCCTTTTCCATGGGAACACGGTTATTTTGGCAAGCATAGGATATGTATTTGATGAATATGTAAGTATATATTCTTATTGACTCTGTGAACAATTTCTTGTCACAGTTTTATTTCTTAATCTGTGTTGTACAGGTAGTGCCATTAAGATATTTCATATGCATCAAAAGTAGGACGCCTGGAAGATGACGGCAGTGTAATGACGTAGTACATCATAAGCGATCTGACTTTGGCACAGCTGAAGATTACTTCAGTTTTGAATTAATCTGAATGACCCCAGCTTTACTGCTGTTGAGTTTCTAGAAATGATAAAATGTCAAGTCATTGGAAATAAAACGACAGAACCTAAACAATCTGACATGACAAATGCATAGTTTCTCTGACTTGTTCCATATGCTGTAGACTTTATTACCAATGACAATATTTTATTCAGAAATGCTTGTCTTAATGAATGTGAGTGTCTTCGGCTTTACTAGAATGTATATCTGCTATGTAAAGAACAGGAAATTCAGTGCTGAGGGTATGTGTGTTTTATGTATACTAAAACCTCAATGCACAAAAAAGATGTAAGTGGTGAATCACTGACTTCTATTATATTTTAATTTGGGTAGGGTATATTAGTGGTATGCTATTGAGTCAATCTCTTTTGGACAATGGTACTGTTTCAATTTATCACAAGTTTCCCAATGCCGTTAGATAATTAGGAAATTTGTGGGCATAGTGTATGCTGACAACTTTTTAAAAAACTGCCATTTAACTTATATTGATACAGTGCTACAAAGAATAGCTGTCTTCACATTTACTGTTATTGACCTCATAAAATCTTTTTATAAAACCTAAAGTTCATATCTCAGCAGCTTGTCTTGAGAAAGGGGACACTTTCATCTACATTTCGTATTATCTGATGTCCTTCAGGTTACCTTCCAGAGTTTTAAAAATGCTTCTGACGTTGGAGGGTCTCAGTGTCAGAGTTCTGCTAAATTCTTCATCCTTCACTACCCATAATCCCTAAGTGATGACACCAGACTAGATTATTTCCTTTGATTTTTGATTCTTTTAGTTCTGCTTTTAAATGTTCAAATGAAAAGCTAACATAAACTTGATGAGAAAACTCAAGTTGTTCCCCTTGAATGGATCAGAGTAAGCAGAAATACCCCAAACTTTTTAAATTAGATGCCCATATTTTCCTAAAGATTCCGTCCAACCCTCCTTCTGCCCAAAGGCCACACCACCATCACCACCATATGCGGCTGGTCGTGCTTAAAATTTGAAATCCACTATACTTGACAGCTTCCTATCTCTCTCAACTCTGTCTGCCAGCTATATCTTTGATAATTTTTAGTCGTAAGTTTCCTAACTAAATACCCTGTTAGAGGAAGATTTACAGTACATTATTCAACATGGGCCTCCAATGCTCTATTAGGAAAAAATTCTAGACCTTTACTAATACTTATTAATGTCCCATGAGATTGGACCATGAGTGATCATACTATAGATTCAAGGCTTTTGGTGTTTCTTCAGGTTTTTTATCACCATCACACAAGGAGCAGCAAAGGATGTGGTCATGTTTCTGATAAATCATATTTTCTATTTACTAAGCATTAAGAAAGGAAGAAAAAAGGAAATGAAAAATAGCACATTTCTGTGCTTTGCCCTTTTTCTTTGAAATTCTTCTGTGAGAAGTTCAGTACAACTTTACATAACAGTGTCACACACTTTCTTGCCACATTAAACAGGAATTCAGGCATCCTTGGATTTGCTAATATCTCAGGAGTGCTTTAATAGGATCAAGGTTTAATATGACTATTGTGAAACTATAGAAAGTAGGTTGCAAAGTCACATTAGGCTCTGCTTATGTAATCCTGGCTATTTGAATTCAAATGAATTCCCCTTGAATATCTGTCTTTATCCTTCTCGTAGACAATGACTATACAATGCGGCCTATAGTTTTATTCTTTCTCTTTACTCTGGTTGCTTCAGATTCAAACACTGCTTTAAGTCCACAAATACTGAGCCTCTCTGTGTGACAGCCACTGTGTTAAGTGTTTAGGGAATAAAACCTAATGAAACATGATCCTAGCCTTTGAAAACTTGCTAGCTTGCTTGATTTTTTTTTTTTGCATACATGTTGTACTTATTTTTTTATTGCAGTAACATTGGATTATAAGTTTGATCGATTAATATGACTTTTTTAACCAAAGTTTTTTTATAATGTCTGTGTAACACTCCATTATTGCCACTTGGAATATTTTTTTGTCTATGTTTGTTTATTTATTTATTTAACTTTTAAATTTGTTCTTTTAGAAATATTCATCATATCCCCTTTGAAGGCAGGTATACTACTAATTAATGATTAAGCTACTTATTTTATACCACTGTAAAGTGTACTTTATGTCTTTTACATGGAACCAAACAAGTTTTAGGTAAAAATTTAGCTCTCTCGAGACTTAATATACTAAATATCCCATTGAGGTAATGTCCATTGGATGTAAATAAGGCTGATGTTAACATTATAAGAGCAAATGGTTGCTACCTTCTTTTGAGTGGAAGGGGAGGAGCAGATGGTAAGATTTGAGTGTTACCAAGGCAAATGAAATTACCAAATGTTAAACCTGACTGCGAAAGAACTAGAAGAACTTTAAAAGTAATTGGGAATGAAAAAGAAATTATTTTGCAGAATCTTTACAAAGTGTGATTATTTTTTTTCTCATACCTCTTGAAGCCAATGATGTAACATTGTAATGCAGTTTGTTGAATGAACTTCACAATTCAAAAAACATGTTAAAGACCTTCCTAATTTAATTTCTATAAATGTAACTAGAAGTCCAAGGCAAATTAATGACCCTGATTGCTTTCCCCAGGGGAGAAAGTGCAGTCCAAAATCCATTAATAGAAATTTAAACGGAAAAGTCAATATCAAAATTTAAACCTTGCATTTATGTGTTTAATTTTCCTTTTGTATTTTTATTTCCTCCTACTCTATTCCTTTCCATATTTTGATTTGAACAGACTGCTGTTTAATCCATTAGTGTTTACTTTGATGAGATGTCAGTAAAATAACCTATACTATCTTTTTCTTCATGTTTTACTTAAAAATTTTTGAAAACTCTTAAGCAATGTATATATTTTTATATTTGTCACATATTATAATGTTTCGTGATTCTGGTATATTTTATATAGATAGAGCTTTTTCTAGGCTTTTCTGATTCAGTATCAAATTCATAGTAATGTCAGTGCTCCACCTGGTGGTAAAAAATAAGCACTTTACTTTTTTCAACACTAAAAAAAATTGGAAGATAAAACTTTATATCCTGATTTTAAAAGTGTGTTAGCATACCTACCAGAGCACCCAGTAAAAATCTACTAAACATAAGCTGTATATTAGTCTATAATAGTTTATATTAAATATATCATGGATTAAGATTTTAACTATACATATAATCATTTTACAGGTCACTTTTAGTTTAATGATTGAGTAAATAGTCCAACTATTTTTATATTTATATATGTTAGGAAACCTAACTTTAACTTTCTATAAATATCTAAACATCTATCTTCTATCTATCATCTATCATCTGTTTATCATCTATCTATCTATCATCTGTCTATCATCTATTTATGTATCTTCTTATCTCTGGCTTGTATCCTAGATTCTGTTGTATTAGTGCTAATTAGTTTCATCTGTACTCTCATCTTCACATTTGATATTAGGTATATTTTGATGCTGTTATTATGTAAGGTATTTCCTCACAGTAATTTCAATTTAACACACTCTACTATTTTTAATGCTCAATTAAAATTCCAGAACAGGATCTATTGAATGGAAAAACAAAGTTATTACTCCTAATTATAATCCTTAACTTGACAGCAAATTGCCTTTCGATTTTGCACTCTTCTGTTTTAAATTGGATTTATTTTCCATAGACTATATTTTTCAAGCCTGGTAATTTTACTAAATGCTTTACTAACTCTACTGCCAACACAAATTATACGTGTCTTATTAGGCATCTTCCATCTGAAAGTTCCTGAGTCTTCTCCTATTGGCTCAGCTATTGGAAGAATAAGAGCTGTGGATCCTGATTTTGGACAGAATGCAGAAATTGAGTACAATATTGTTCCAGGAGATGGGGGAAATCTGTTTGACATCAGCACAGATGAAGATACACAAGAAGGAGTCATCAAATTGAAAAAGGTATATAAACCTGTTTTTGGACAGTTGTCTACCCAATAATAATTAAGAACAGAAATGCTAAAACTTGAAAATGACAGCAATTTTAATTTTCCTTCAATATATTCATTTTAAAAAAGACCAGGTGACTATGAAGTATTCACTCCCACAGGCATTTTTAGTCTGTAATTCAAGAGGCATATATTTTATGTTGAAACAATTAGGCCTATTAATTTGACTAAATCATTTAAACAAATCCTACAGAGTTTAACTGTAATTTACTTTTTATTGTTACAAACTTAGACAAAAAGATTAATTTAAAAATAAAATCTAGGAGTAAACTCTAACCCAACCAGGCTTGACCTTGACGCTTTTGTGACTTTTCTGAGAATACAAATATTTAATTCACACGTTGTTGGTGAGTGTTGATGTCACAGTGGAGGCATCCTGGTGTGGGCTAGCTGTACTACTGGAGCAGTGGAAGAAGTGAGAAGGGGAAATGTTGGGCTCGAGGGGCCCATAATGAGGTAAGTAAAAAGAAAAATTATTAAGAGAGAGAAAAAAGGTGGACCTTGATGGACAGACATTTAGTAATGTTCAATGGATTAGTATAGAAGAGGATGCAGAAGGGGAGAGAAAAATTCAAAATATTAGGAATAAACCATTATTTTTAATATAGGTATCTTGTCTTTTGTCGGGTAGTGGCATGAAGAAGGAGTATGTAAATGTGAGAAAAAGATAAATCATGATTATATTTGAGGTGTGTAGATTGTTTCCAGAACAGTGAAGCAAATTATAGGAATTTCCAATAATGGAGTGTAGACAAAAAAGTGAACTTTATTTACGTCATTGCTGTTTTCTCCTCTCCTCTGAAGCACACTCTATCCCAAACCACAGTATATTATACACATTTGTTAATTGTGATAATTTTAACCTACAAGAATTATTTTTGCATTCAGTCCCATTAGGCACTGAATCAGTCCCTGATTAGGCTGCTGTTTCCATATTGACCCAGGAACTCTGAATTTTAACAAAGAAACAATAGATATGGTAATGAAAATAATCCTAAAAGAAATACCATTTTCATATAGATTATTTATTATTTTTTATTCCCAGTATTGCACGTAAATTGTGCTTTGTCTAGAAATTAATTTAACCACATGATCCCGTTCAGGAAAATTACATAGTTATGCTGAATTTTCAAAGTAAATGTAGAAAAATATTTGTGTCAAATTCTTATCACCTTTACTCCTTTATTATTTGTTGTAGTTTTGCTTGTTTTTCTCTTTTCTATTTGATAACAAATCAGTGAAAAGCCTCGTCTCTTATTTTCTTTTTAGAAAAGATCTCCCAAAATAACTACATTTAAATGGTTTAAAGACATCAATTCAAATGGAACTAACGTAAATTCTCTTAGTAATATGAGAAATAATAGGAAATATTTTACATCAATGGTTCAAAGTATAAAATTAAATATAGTTACAAGGTAAAATTGAGATCCAGAAGAGTCATATTACATGTGCTATATATATATTTATATATTTACTTACATTTATATACTTATTATAAATGTTTTTTATATTTACACATATGATTTTATATTTTATTTACCCACATTTACCATCTATGGCAATAAATAATCAATGTCTAAGTGTCAATCTGGAAAAATATGTGGCTTTCTTATTTATTTTTTAACAAGATTGAAAAGGGTGTGATGTGTTAACCATAGTCCTTTATATTATTATGTCAAAATGGATTAATCTTTCAGTTACACAAATCAACTTTTTATAAATATTTATTAATTATATATCATCACTAAAGCAATAAAAACATATCTTCTGCCTTTTTAGCTTATGAAAGTGTTATAAAGGGTATGACATTTATTTTGTGGTATTTATTTTGTTTAATTTTTTGAGAATTTTCTATTCTTTAGAGTAAAACTGAGATTTGGGAAATTATGATACATCTTTATTAAAATTCATTTTTTATATAATTTACAAAATAATCTGGAAAGTATACCTCCAAGTAAAAACAATATATGTTTCCTTCTGCAGTGGGTGAATAACTGTTGTCCATTTTGTTGGCATAAAATTTATCTAAATAAAGGTCAGTGCCGATAATTAACATCACTCCTTCAGTCAACAAATATTGCTGGAACAGTCACTAAATCCCAGACCCTGCTCCGGGCTCTGAGGATAGAGCAGTGAATGAAACAGACATATTTCCTGTACTCAAGCAGCTTCCATTTAATTTGCAAAGTTAGATGATAAACAGATTCAAAAGCACTGTGAACAGTGCTAAATTTAACGTTGAAATAACATAAATCAGGGTAAAGGGTATGACAAGTAGTGTGGAGAGTGGTGGCTTGTATAGTGAGGACTTCATAAAAGGCTGCTCTGTTAGGCTGAAATTCTGGCAGAGATCTGAAAGAAGCAAAAGATAAGTCATGTGGTGTCTGAGCGATGTGTGTCCCAGAAATAGTGAGCAATTGCAAAATCTCTGAGATGGGAGCGGACTTGGTAAGGAGGCCCAGAGCAGTGAATGAAAGGTCTGTAGCAGTGGAGATGAGGTCAAAGATGCAGAGGAAGGGCCCATTACGGAGAAGGACAGAAATAGACCAGTTAAGAGACTATTGAAATAATCCAGGAAACTAATGATGGAGCTATGGATCATCCTGTTTGTAGCAATGGAGGTTGTGAGAAATGGTGAGATTCTGGCTAGATTTTAAAGGAACCCCCAAAACAGAGTTTTATAAATATGCTGATGATCCGGTAAGTTACATTGAGCATTTGAATAGATTTGTTTTCAGTGTTGTTGTTTTGATCTCTAAATGAGGAATCACCAGAGGCAATCTCTACCTGCTAAGCTATTGTTCCACTGGAAAAGAAAACTGCAACCTATAAACTACAACTAGTAAATGTTTAAAAAATAATTCAGGAGGACATTTTTGTAACAAAATTTTAGAATTATCTATCATCTATCTAGTTATCTATCTATCTACCTACCTATCTAGCCACCTGTAAGGTGTATGTATTGTATTGAGCCCACGTGTGTGCACACATACACATATAGATATATGACATGGCAGCATGATTTTGTAAAAATGAAATGATGAGAAAATATTCAGTTGAATAAAGCCCATGAAAAACTCAAAAGTAATTTGAACTACAGTTCTTTATTATGATTTTTTATTGAGGTATAATTGACATGCAGCATTTTTTTAGTTTCAGGTGTACAAGATAACGATTTGACATTTGTATATATTGCAAAATATCACTACAATAAGTCTAGTTAATATCCATCACCATACATAGTTACAGAATACTTTTTTCTTGTGATGAGAACTTTCAAGATTCACTCTCAGCAACTTTCAAATATGCAATATTATTATCATTAACTATTATTATTAACTTATAGTTGCCATGCTATACATTACATCTCCATGATTTATCTATTTTTTAACTAGAAATTTGTACCTTTTGATCATCTTCATCCATTTCACACCCCTCCCCCCACCACCTGCCTTTGGCAACCACTAATCTGTTCTTTATGAGTTTGAGTTTTTTTTAGATTTCCACATACAAGTGAGATTATGCAGTATTTTTCTTTCTCTGTCTGGCTTATTTAACTTATGATAATGCCCTCAATGTTCACCTATGTTGTTGCAAATGGCAATATTTCATTCTTTTTTATGGCTGAATAATATTCTATTGTGTGTGTATATATACATATACATATATATACCACATTTTCTTTATCCATTCATCCATCATAGACAGTTAGGTTGTTTCCTTATCTTGGCTATTGTAAATAATGCTGCAATGAACATGAAGGTGCATATATCTTTTCAAGTTACTGTTTTTGTTTTCTTTGGATAAATACTCAGAAGTGGAATTGCTGAATCATATGGCAGTTCTATTTTTAATTTTTTGAGGAACCTCCATACTGTTTTTCACAGTGGCTGCACCAATTTACGTTACCACCAACAGTGTGCAAGGATTCCTGTTTCTCCACATCCTTGCCAACACTTATTTCTTGACTTTTTGGTAGCAGCCATTCTAACGTGTGTGAGGCGAGACCTCATTGTGGTTTTGATCTGCATTTCCCTGATGATTAGTGATGCTGAGCATCTTTCACGTAGACTGTTGGCCTGTAGTTCTTTAAATTGTTTTTTTGAATGAAGACTATATTATAGGGCTATTTATGCATGTATGCAGTAAGTTCTTAGAAAACTTTATCTTGAACTTATCATTAGGAGTCCTACAAGAATTAGATATATAATAATTCATATACTAAATATATATTATTATACAGCAGCAGTGTTTCTGCTCCATAATGATCTTAAAATTACATTTTTGAAAGTTTCCCTTCAATATCTCAGCATAGAATTATAATGAAGAGTTTTGATATAAAACCAAATTCGCATCGGAATCATGTTCTTAAATATACTAAAAGCATTTAGAAAGTCTAAAAATATATATTCTACCTTTGAATATGTAACTGTTTGTTAAACATCAGCTATTTTAATTGTTTGGCTCACATCAGAGCATGATATTCTTTGTTTTCAGAGAGTTTTTCTCTTTCTAACTCACTTAAAAGTAAATTAAAATGTTTAAATTTCTCTGAAGCACATCTTTTCAGTATCGTTTTATCTCCAAAGTCTTTATTTGCCTTCCCTTTACTGTTCGCTCCTCTCTCCTCTTTCTCTGCGGACAGTGGGCCGAAGTAGATAAAAATGATGGTCAAGGTTTATGTGAGCTGAGAAAAAGGTATTTTTATTTATTTTATTTTTTAACCTTAACTTGGATTCTGTTTGTGAGCCTGTGACAGAATGCCATTTCACTGTGTCACTTCGAATTCAGGACATTATGAAGATTTATAAATCTCTCCAAGGCATAAGATATTGCTTAAAAAAACAACTACTCTTGTTCTATACTTGTGTCATACTGCACTGAGCAAGGTATAAACAAATGAAAAATGCCCTATAAGTATTATATCAATGAAAATACTAACAAAATCAGGAT